TTACTTATTGGGAGCCAAATTCACAATCGAGACGGATCATGCCGCGTTGATTCACATCATGAAGAACCGATTGGTGAATAATCGGATACATAGAGGCATTCTATTATTACAGGAGTACGATTTTGAATTCCGGTATATCAAGGGAAAAGACAATATCATAGCCGACGCACTAACACGGGATGAAGACACGGGAAAAAAGGAAGCAATTACGTTACATGTGGGACTAAATATCTTGACAGAAGAAGAAGGTGTATTCTCATTAAATGAAATAAGAAGAGATCAAGGAGAATTAGAGGAAAAAGAAAAAAGAAGAGCGGAGATGGAAAACGACATATATTTCAAGAGAATAGACGGAAGGGAACTATATTTGGTGACACAAACATTGGCAGAGAAGATTATAAAGAAATTGCATGAAGACAATGGACATATCGGCAGCAGAAAAGTTTGGCTGGTGTTTCGAGAAAATTATATTTGCCGACAGGATTACCGCATTACAAAGGAGATTACACAAAAGTGCCCGATCTGTCAAAAGTATAAAATTAGGAATTTCAAGAATGAAAACGTTACGAAAAATATTATATCCCGGAACAAATTAGATATTGTAGCAATAGATATATTAAGCGATCTAATTATGACAACGAAGAGGAATAAACATGTTTTAGTCATGATAGATGTATTTTCAAAATATGTAAAATTATACAGTTGCCGGACCACGAAAGGCGAAGAAATAATGAGAAACATCGACAATTTTATAGCCACCGTAGGAACACCAAGAAGGATTCTTCTAGACAATGCAACATACTTCAGGAATGATCGTTTCAAGGGACAACTTCGAGAACGGGGAATAGAGACAAATTTTGTTAGCATCAGACATCCTCAGAGTAATCCTTCGGAACGATGTATACAGGAAGTGACGAAATTTCTTCGAATTACAACAGATGGTCAACATCGACGATGGGATCGGAAAGTGTCCGAAGTAGAAATGTATTTAAATACCATCCCAAGCACCGTAACGAAAGAAACCCCAGAATATATAATGAAAGGGATAATGCCGATAAGGCCATGGGAAGATATAAAACAAAAGGAATACACACAGATAATGGAAGATGTGCAAAGGAGATTGCGGAGAGCAAACGAAAAATATATCCAGAGACAAGATCAAAATAGGAAAAGAAGACCAGTTACTTTCCAAAAAGGTGAGAAGGTTATGGTGAGAGCATTGCGAGTGTCCAACATCCCTGGCAATGTATGCGCAAAGTTAATGCCTGTTTTTGAGGGTCCTTACGTAATAAACAATGATAATGGTATAAATAGTTATGTTTTGAAGCATTTGGATTCAGACAAGATTAGGGGAATATATAATATCAACGATGTTTATAAATATTATGAATAAGAGACAAAGAATGTTTGCATAAGAGAAAAATCCCTACATAATTCAGTAATTTTTATCATATGCAAAGGCGGGGATTTATTATACTTCTTCTTCCACAAACGCGGAAGGAACAAAAATAATTAAGGAATCCATCGGAAGTAAGTTTTTAAGAAATCTGAAGACAAAATATGTATTAATTTTAAGATAGAAAGTTTGTATATTTGTAAATAGATAGATTAGTACCGAAATTTTATGACTTATAAAGAACTAAGCCATTCTAAACGAGTTATTGACAAACCATTTGTACATTATAGAAAATAAGCTGTTACCTGAAGGATTAGTTCGGTATTGTGTTGTATAAATCTTCTATTATGACTAAGGCAAAAATCTTTGAAATGTATAAAAATTATTTGTTTACAAGGAAATGACCATTGTTAAAAGATTAAAGTTCCTTGCTTGAAAACGGTAATTAGCATTCCAACAAGTGTGGTAAACAAATTTGGAATTTGTGATGAGACGATCTTTTTGGAAGGGGAAATCGACAGACCGAGGGTTGATAGAGTTTTTGTTGGTTCGAGAAGACAGTGATGTTTGAGTGATCGAAAAGAAAGGTTGCGTCTCGACAGGCGGTGTGTTCGTGAGTTGGAGGCCGGCATTGTTAAGTGGATAAAGTTACCAGTCTTGTTAGCAGAATTGTGGAAGAAGTAGATTGCAAGTCGATGTAAAGAAATCCTTGAATCTAAAGTGTGCAGTTTCTGGAATACGTGTTAAATAGTTGTGGCACCAGGTGAGAAAAGAGATCCTTGGGTCACGAAGAAGTTATATGAATGTTTGAAGAAGTGATTTTCGTGTGTTAAGTGTTGGAGAATTGAGTCAGGAGGTTAAATTAAGTCAGTTAAATTGGCTGAAGGAGCAGATACTGAAACAAGAAGCCGAGGCGCAAGGTGGAAGAACACATTGCTGTGGAAGGTGGACAATTCTTTGTGTGGTCCTAAAACAATCCAGGGAAGAAAGGTCAGATATTTTCCTTTTTCAAGTTGAAAGGTGTGTAAATCTTAAATGCGATTTGTTTACCTCATTGTTGTTACCAGTTTAAAGCATGATTAGACCTTTTTACATTTATCAAATGTTTTAAAGTTTTGTTTCCATAATAAAATAGAATTTTTAAATATAAGGAAGATAAAAGTTTATAAAGGTATCCAAATTTAAATTAGTTTCAAATTGTTTGTCTCAAGAAGAAAATAAGAATTAAAATTTTCTTTTTGTATTAATTTCATTACATGCATATTCGCTGATTGAAAAGATAACGGCAAATTTAATAATTGTTTTTTTTTATAAAATAAAAAATATCTGTATTTTATGTATTATACTTTTTATTATTATCCTTTGTTTTTCCTATCCCGATAAATACAACTAGAAAACTTTGAACTCACTGAACATAAGAAATATCAGAAGTTTATTTTTTAGGACATTGATAACGAGAAAGTATATTTTTGTGATTGTTTCAAGTAAATAAATTAAAATCAAAAATACAAAATCATAACAATATATATATATATATATATATATATATAATATATATATATATATATATATATATATATATATATATATATTTGTTTTCTTAAGAGAATCCAAATAAAAACTTATTTATCCACCGAAAATAAATTACATAAGATATCTAATTGATCTTATGTGAACTCTTAAGAATCCTCATTATTTCTTGTGTCCAGGACACATTAAGCTCTTTTTATACATTTTTTATAAAAACATTTAAACTGGGTTAGGGAGTATAAATTGTTACAAGCAATAATACCCGCTACGCCTTATATGTATATACCAGCAGACACTGAAATACTAAAGATCAATAACCCAGTTAATGATACAAGCAACATTGCAACAACGAGCCAATCTTTTTACTTTTAAAACACCCGCTGGCAAACTGTCGAAAGGTTACCGCGATTTAAATTCGCTTTCCATTATTATTCTGATCCACGTATGATTTTTTTACAAAATATCTTATGTACCAACTCCACTGTAAAGGTACACAATAAGTCGAGAATGAAGTGCTGAATATATTCATTTGAGTAGCAATATTAGGCAATAAATGAGGTCGCTGGGTCAATAGCTAATTTTAAAACTTGAATTTGGTGAATGGTAAAACTTGACTTCATGAATATTATCAACATGGGAATTGTGATTAGAAGAATAAAATAACTGAATCTAAATTATAATAACAGATAATAAAACCTCCTAATAACCTAATTGTTACGTTATCTCTGTGGGCTTTTAATAATATTGACGACCAGTTTCTTTTTAATATCTTTTATTAAAGACCAACTAAACTTAATACATGATTATATCTAACGAGCCATCTTTTACCCCTCCTGTCCGCTGTCCATCTCCTTCACCTGTCACTCATGTTAAGGTAGGTATACAAATATTAAGGTAGGTTCACATAACATAACATGCCCCTTTTTTTACAAAAAAAAACTAAACTATCCCAACAACCTAAATCTACCCGCAACATTACACTGCCGCATTACTCTTCTGAAAATGAAAACCTTTTTTTTTTTAATTCCTAATTCACATGTTAAACTCAAATTCTTTAGACTAGTCATGAAATCTTCAATGGTATCACCATCTTTCTGTACTCTAGTAAGAAAATAATGTCTTTCTACTGTTAAATTTTTCTTCGGGTTACAGTATTTTTCAAATTTCCCTACAACTTCTTGAAATGTTACAGTATCCATGTTAAACTCAAATGACTTGTAAATATTTCTTGAATCTGTACCAATATAGTGCAATAATAAAGCTACTTTTCTCGCATCGTTTTCTTTCTCTAAACCTGTCGCTCTCAAAAATATTTTGAAATTTATGCTCCACTCTCCCGAGTTGTGTGCCAAATTTCCTTGCATTGACAATGGTTGGATTTCATTTCCTATTACGTTACTTTTTATTTTTACAACGACAGGTTGATTCTGCTCTATAGAATCTTTTTTCCGACATTGTTGAACTTTATCTTTTGACCGTTTTTAATTAAATTTCTTTTAAAACCAACTAGACCACCACGTGCTGTTAGACCATGTTTCGACTTTTGTATGACTATTATAATACTCGTTGCTATAATCTGACCTGTATTTTTACTTCTGACACCATGTTACGTTGTCTCTGTGGGCTTTTAATAATATTGACGACCAGTTTCTTTTTAATATCTTTTATTAAAGACCAACTAAACTTAATACATGATTATATCTAACGAGCCATCTTTTTCCCCTCTCCTATCCGCTGTCCATCTCCTTCACCTGTCACTTATGTTAAGGTAGGTATACAAATATTAAGGTAGGTTCACATAACATAACATTAATATAAACTTCTTCCTATTATTTCGCCATCTTCTTTCAAAGGTTGGTGATCTAAATAAAAATTGTGCTTTGGATACTACTGTACGAAAGATTTTTGCGGTCAAATTATTGAGTGCCTACTATAGCGTTAAAATCTCCCAATATTATCATTTTTTGTCTGAGTTGATCTACTACTTGTCTTCTTTCTACTAGACGAAGAAAGATAGATTTCTGTCACAAATCACATGTTATCATTGTAAACAAATCGGAAAAAATAAAAATAAATGTCCAAAATTGAAAACATCCGAAAACATGCGTTTAGTGTGGCGGTTCTCAATGGAGACTTTAAGAAAACTGAGTGGTATGTGGACTCGGCAGCTAGTGTTCATTTAACGCTAAATGAAGATTGGACTAATAATAAAAGAGTAAGTAATACATGTGATATTATAGTTGCTAACAAGAACATAGCCAAAGTAAAGTGTTCAGATGATTTGGATTAAACAACTGTTGTAGGCGAGAATAATTTTAGTATTGTAGTTCAAAATGCTCTTTGTGTTTCAGAACTTACAACTAACCTTTTATCTGTCAGCAAATTAATAGAGAATGGAAATGAAAATCATTGTTGCAAAATATTTAACAAAAATTCTGAACTAATCGCAAAGGCCGACTTAATAAATGGTGTATACAAATTGAATATTGAGGTTAATAAAATTTTAAAAATTGTTTATTTATCAATGGCGAAACAAAGCATAGAAAGTTTGGCCATATAAACAGTGTTTATTTAAATAAAATGAAAGATTGAATAGTATATGGACTGAATGTGACTGGGGAAATTGACATTAAAAAACAAAACTGTATAGTTTGATGTGAGGGCAAACAAACACGATTACCATTTCCACAGCAAGGTCACAGAGCCAGTAGTTTATTGCAAATTATACACACTGATGTATGTGGACCTATGGAGAACAGATCACTAGGTGGCTCCAAATATTTTTTACTTTCCAAGACGATTTTAGTAAATTGATTTTTATTTATTTTATTAAAACAAAAAGTGAAGTTTTTAATTGTTTTAAGAATTTTAAAAGTATGGCTGAAAACCAGAAGGGTGTAAATGGTATTATACATCAAAAAACCAATCCCTACACTCCTGAACAAAATGAAGTATCTGAACGTTTGAATAGTACAATTGTAGAAAAGGCAAAGTGTCTTTTGTTTGATGCCAATCTTAAGAATGTTTATGGGCTGAAGCTGTAAACACAGCTGTTTACTTAAAAAATAGATCTTTGGCTTCTAGTTTAAACAAAACACCGTTTGAAATGTGCACAAATAGTAAACCTGATGTTAGTGGCCATCGAATATTCGGCAGCAATGTGATGGTACAATGTTCCAAAAAAAAAGGTCAAAATGGGAGAAAAAGGCAATTTTGCGCATTTTAGTAGGGTATGCTGAAGATACAAAAGGATAACGGAAGACCATGGAAGATCATGGAAGACGCAAAAAGGTTTGAGTGATTCATTTTAATTTAAAAGATGAACATGAGGCAAAAGAAACTCTAGGTTCAGTAGAGGAACAAAACAAAGATAATGTTGAAACTAAGTCTAAAGATAATGATAATATTTTTAGTGACAAAGAATCTAACTACTATAAAGAAGATAACTTAAGTGATAAATACCTTGAAGTGTCCAAATTACCTGAAACATTACAAAAAGTACACAGAAAGTCAGAACGAGTAAGAAAAAGAAAAGACTTTAGTGAATATATTACAAAGCATTGCAACATCCTGATGGAGCAAAGTGGAGAGAAGCCATGATGGATGAAATCCAATCTTTCCGTGACAACAATGCATGGGCTGTGGTAGGTGTGCCGCAAAATGGTAGTGTAATTGATAATAAGTGAGTGTTTAAGTTAAAGTGTAATAGCGAAAATAAAGTTACATATCGCACAAGATTAGTGGTTAGGGGTTTTAATCAAAGAGAATATATAGACTATACAGAAACTTTTGCTCCAGTAATAAGACATTCTTCTTTAAGATTGCTTTTTTTACTTTCTGTTAAATTAGGTTTAAATACTACTCATTTAGATGTTAAAACAGCATTTATAAATGGTAATTTGAAAGAGAAAATATACATGCAATCACCAGAGGGTTTTGATTTAGCAGGTAACAAATGTTTAAAATCAAATAAGGCTATACGTTTTAATTTTAAGTGGAGTATAAATTCTTCGATTCAACCTTAATAAATTTTTGAATTTAAGATAAATACCTAATACTAAGACAACAGAACAAGTGAAATATATTTAACTAACGAAGTACTCAATAATAGAGATACTAAAAATGCAAATCATTATACGCTATCTGCACCACACCCGTCCATACTTTAAGAGGTCATATCAAAGAAGGAGCATTCATTTTTGTTAAGGTGTGGATTTGGAAAATAAATAGTCGTACTTTACTACCATTATAAAAGGCTTTATTTCCTATAACATACATACTAATTAACTAACCTAACTTAAGCCACCATACTTCTTACTACCACCTACAACTACATGATACTCATTGACATTACTATTATTGTCTGTCATGTCAACCCATGACACTATGGGTGCGTTCCGCTTACTCTTACACCAATATATCTGTGTATACAATATAAATGTATTACATTCTCAACACGCCTCCTTACATTTACATTGTATTTACATTAATTCAAATTTAACATACTTCGAAATTTTTCAAATTTATCTTGGCCCAAGGACTTCGTAAAAATATCTGCAATATTATCATCAGAATCTACTTTAACCACATTTATAACATTTGCTTTAACATAATCATTTACATAATGATAATGAATTTCAACATGCTTAGAATTTTTTGTAAAATTGCCATAATTAGCTATACTAATTGTACCAGTGTTATCTTCATAAACATCAATTGGCTTTATTATTTCAATATCAAATATTTTCAACAATTCTTTTACAAATATCAATTCACTTACTGCTTCTGACAATGCTACATACTCTGCAAAAGTTGAAGCTTTTGTAACGCTTTTTTGTTTTCTAGATTTCCAATAAATTACATTACCAAACAATCTTATTACAAAACCAGTTGTAGACTTTCTATCTAAATGATCACCTGCCCAATCGGCATCCACATAACAATCAATAATACTTACTTTTTCATTTCTGTTATAAAACAATTTTAAATCTTTAGTTAAGCATAAATATTTCAAAATTCGTACAGCATATTTAAAGTGCGTTTCATTATAGCAATTTTGAAATCTACTCAGATAATTTACGCTGAAACTTATATCAGGCCTTGTTGCCGAACTTATGTATAATAGTGCACCAATTAAATTTTTATATTTAATATTTCTTTCACAATGATCAGATTTATCAATTTTTAAATTTACTTCCATAGGTGTATTATACAGTTTACCTTTTTCTAAATTATATTTTTTCCTTAATAATTCAATATATTTATTTTGATCCAATCTCATTTCATGTTTACTAGAATCATAATCAACAGTAATACCAAGATATTCTTTAATTTCACCAATATCTTTCATTTTAAATTTTTCTGATAATAAAATTTTAATCCTTTTAATTTCATTTAAATTTCTACCACAAATCAATAAATCATCGACATAAATTAATAAGTAAATAATATCATTTCCAATTTTATAAACGTACAAACAAGGATCAATATTACTTCTTTCAAAACCTAAATTTATCAAAAATGTATCTAGGCACTCATACCATGCCCTTGGACTTTCTTTTAAACCATATAAAGCTTTAACTAATTTACAAGTTTTACTTTTATTTAAACTATCAATTTCTTTGTCCATAGCTGTTTTCCAATACTTACTTTCATTAGAATTTATCGCCTCCTCAAATGTATGTGGTATATCAGTTCTACACATATTTACAAAAATACTACTATTATATACATAGTAGTCATCAAATTTCTTTGGAGGATTTTTGGCTCTGTGAGATCTAGGTAACTCAGGTTCATTTTTATTCACACTATCATCCATACTTTCATTTGTACTTTCAAAAGTTTCATCTATTGAGTCATTTTCAGAGCTTTCATCAATTTTATCAGGGTAACACTCTTCATTATTATCATTATCTGATTCATTAAAGTCTAAACCTATACACTTAACGTTTTCTTCAACAATATCCACGTGTCTAGCAACAATGACTCTGCCATTTAATAATACACGATAACCAACATTACTATAACCAATTAAAATTCCCATATCAGCTTTCTTATCCCATTTAGAGATTCTCTTCTGTTCTGGTCTTCGTACAAAAACTTTACTTCCATACAAACGCAAATTAGAAACATCAGGTTTCTGTCCAAAAAATATTTCATATGGAGTTTTCTTTTCAATTGTATCAGATAAAGTACGATTTTTCAAATAAACCGCAGCACAAACTATTTCAGGCCAATATTTTTTATGAATATCTGCTTCAGCCAACAAACATCTTGACATATCCATTATAGTTCGATTAAACCGTTCTGCAGTCCCATTCAATTCATGTACATATGTAGGACAATTATCAATTACTATACCCCTTTCTTTTGCAAATCTGTAGACTTTACTGTTCAAATATTCTTTCCCATTATCACATCTTAAAATCTTTATTTTCTTTCCAGTCAAATTTTCACTTTCATTCGTATATTCATTCAAACAATCACATACTTCTGCTTTTGATTTTATAGCATATACTTTAGAAATCTTACTATAATCATCAATGAAAGAAACAAAATAATTTTCACCTTTAAACCCAGTAGTTCGAAAAGGCCCACAAACATCAGTATGTACAATCTCTAAAATATCTTTAGCTTTTTTTCTACTGTTTACAAACGGAATATTATGCATTTTACTTTCAATACAAATCTTACATTTCATAAATTCAGATTCAAACTCATTAGGAATTCCATTCAACAGCTGATCTTTAGATAAAATATTCAAATATTTAAAATTTACATGACCTAATAAACGATGCCATTTTTCCTTTTGATTCATATTATTCATATCTTTATTTGCAACATTTACATGCAATTCAACTGATTTTAATTTACTTTTCATAATATATAAGCCATTATTTTTTAAAGCAACTGCTGTTATATTACCAAGTTTATCAAAAACTTTTGAAATATTACCTAGAGAAATAATCTTATTATTTTCTGTTATTTTGCTATAACTTATCAAATTTGATTTCATATCTTTAACATAGAAAACATTTTGCATATCTACTAAACTCTTTTTACCAAAAGCATCAAAGTAACTTAAAACATTTCCAATTTTAGTAGCTTTTACAACCCTATTATCTCCTAAATAAACATTAATGGGATCTTTAAGTAATTTACATTTATCAAATAATTTTTCATCATTAATAATGTGGTCTGTACAACCACTATCTAAAAGCCATTTTATTTCAATACAATTATTTACATTACCTATTTCAGTATTTTGTGCAATAACTGACATATCCTTAC